GTCTCAGATTCTCCAGCATCTGCAGTTCCTACTATCTCTAGCCATGGGAAATGTTGAGTTGTGGGAATAGGGGGGTGGGTTGAGCTGGGTCTGGACGGGATGTACTTTGGAGGTTTGGGGCAGACTTGATGGACTGAATGACCTCCATCTGCACTGTAGGGATTCTATGAATAATAAGGAGAAATATAAGAGAAATTGAGAGACATATTTGACCCAAGTAAGGTGAAATCTGGAGTACTTCATATATTATTAGTCTCCTTGTTTCAAAAAGGATGGTCAGTTCTTGAAGCAAAATAATTTAGGAAATTAGGGAAAGGGAAAAATTGAGCCAACAAGTTAGAATCGTATGGTTGGTATTTACAAAAACGTAAGTTTTTCATTCCCTATTAATCCCTTATTTTGAATGTTTGATTGTTTCCATGTAACACTTTCTAATTTCCCATTTACATTTAGGCTGGGATTTACTGGTTAAATTTAATAGATCATTTCTGTACTGGATTGGCTACCATTATAACAGCTCTGCTGGAACTGATTGGTCTGAGCTGGATCTATGGTGAGTGCAGTAGAAAAAAAGCACAGAAACTAAATAAAAGAATTTCATTAAAAGCTGCTTGTGTGGCTCTTCCTGTTTCTTCAGAAAAATACATGAGAATTGGGTTGAATGATGGGATTTAGTTAATCTTTCATCCTTGATGCTGATGGAAATTTTTCTCTCCTTGTTGTCCAAAATATTGTTCCCGGATGCTGGAATAAACGGGCAAAAATGCTTCTTTTTATTCAATTAAGGAATGTAGGCATTGCTGGACAGGTCAACTTTCATTTTCCATCCCTAATTGCCCAGAGGGAAGTTAAGAGTCGATCATATTGCTGTGGACCTGGAGTCACACAGGGTAAGGGCAGTAGTGTTATTCCCTGAAGGGCATTAGATGAGCTTTACCTGACGATATTTTCATGGCCATTATTAGACTCTTACTTGCAGATTTTAATTCAATTCAAACTTCACCAGAAAATTATGTGGATCTCAGGATTAATAGTCTAGCAATAATATCACTAGGCCTTCACCTTCTTTTTTATATCCTTTCCCAACGGTACTATTGTAGTACAAGCTGCCATGTTTTCCTACTCATCGTTATTGGAGATGATGTTCAATTTCCCCATGCTCAGTTTAACAGGTTGCCACTCAATCCAGAAAGTTACCAGTTTATCTCAATTATCAAGTTGCTGGGGCAACAGGACAAGAATTCCAACAGCACGATCACAATAATCCTGCCCAGACTTCAAACTGGTGACAGGAAACAATTTACACTTCCTGCTTGAATTCCTGTGTGACCCCTTCTCTGCTTTAACCTGTCGTTAGTGACCCAGTACAAGATGAACTTCTACAGTGGCACGGTGGCATGGTGGTTAGCACTGCTACCTCACAGCACCAGGGACCTGGGTTCAATTCTACCCTCAGGCTACTGTCTGTGTGGAGTTTGTACATTCTCCTGTGGCTGTGTGGGTTTTCTCTGGGTGCTCTGGTTTCCTCCCACTGTGCAGACGAGGTGGATTGGCCACTCTAAATTGTTCAGGGATGTGCAGATTAGGGGGATGGGTCTGGGTGGGATGCTCTGAGGGTCAGTGTGGACTTATGGGGCTGAAGGGCCTGTTTCCACACTGTAGGAATTCTATGTAAAAAAAAATTTAAAAAGCTGCCCTGAAATCAGGACAAAGCAACTGGTTGTGTCTTTCTGCTTTCTTGTTCACAGGGATAAACAGATTCATCAAGGACATTGAGATGATGATTGGGGAAAAGAACTGGCTGTTTTGGTTGTGGTGGAGAATGTGCTGGATTTTTATCACTCCGTGTTTGCTGGCAGTAAGGAGATGTTTCAAATTTTAGTGATTTAAACTAAAAATAATATTTCTGCAGATAGGCTGCATACTTTGTTTCAGACCTGATTTGAGCAACAATTTCATTACAGGCAATCTTGTTCTGGTCCTTAGCAATGTTTGTCCTGCCAACATATGGACCTGTTGAGTACCCTGTCTGGGCAATTGCACTGGGCTGGTGTATGATCGTCTTCTGTATTATGTGGATCCCCATCGTGGCCATTGTGAGAGTTGTCCAAGCTGAGGGTTCCACCTTGTGGCAGGTGAGGAAATGCTTCGAAGATAAGGGAATAACATTTCTGTGAAGTTCTCCCAATCTCTCATGTACAACAGTAACAACAACTTGTAATTGCATTACATCTTTGACATAGTAATATATCCTTTCACAAGAAGGTTATACTGTAGAATCTTACACTGCACTACAGAAGGAGATATAAGGCAGTTTGCTTAAACAGGTTGGTTTTCAGAAGCTTTTTACAGAAGAAGTGTTAGAGATAGAAATGAGGAAAATCTAGTGCTCATGTCCTCCTTGGTTGAAGGAAAGAACACCAATGGTGAAGCAATTAGAATGAGAGATGTCCAGGAATGGCTTAGAGGAATGTAAATATCTTGAAGGTTTGTGATACTAGAGAAGATTTCAGAGACAGGGAGGGACAAAGCGAGAAATGAATTTAAAGGCAAAGGGATTTTAAAATTTTGAGACTGAGGTGCTCCTTAACCCGAAGCCAACAATGGTTAGTGAGCATAGCCACAATACATGAACTTGACTTGCCATGAAAAAGAGCACAACCTTCAGAATGGATAACATCAAGTTTACCAAGAGCAGGACGTGGGGAATTAGCCAGCAGTGGGCGAGGGACATCTAGAGTAGAAGTAATGAAATCATGGATGAAAGTTTCAGCAATGAATGAACAGAAACAGATCCAGTCGGGGAATGTTACAGAGTGATGTTGGTGGAGATCTTACCAATACCATGGGTATGTGATTGGAAGCTCATCACCCGATCAAATATGATCCAAGATTGAAAACAACTGGTTCAGCCTCAGAAAGTCGCCAGGAAGAGGGGCGTTGCTAATAGTTGGCCAATGGATTCCATTGCAAGGTCCAAAGAGAATAATTTTGGTATTCCCAATATTTAATTGGAGCAAATGCACGCTCATACAGTACAGTTTGTCAGTCAGGCAGTCTGACTGTTTGGAGCAGTTGTTGGAGTTGAGGAGATAGTGAGGTCGACCTGGGTGTTATGTGTGGATCTATAAAATTGGAAACTGACTACAAACCACTTCTAGCCTTGACTATCCCACTGCTGTCTGGCTGGCCTCCATCTACCACCCTCAGTCAACAGAAACCCATCCAAAATTTTGCACTGGCACTAAGCAGTGTTCACTCATCATTCCTGAGCTCACCGGCCTACACTGGCTCCTGGTCTGGCAATGTTTCAATTACAAATTCATTTTCTGGTTTCAAATCTCTCCATGGTCTTGTTCCTCACTATGCCTGTGATATCTTCTTGTCATTCAAGCCTCCAACGTCTCTGCTTTTCCAGTTCTGTATCTGGCTCATATCTGACTATAATCTCTCTATTATTAGCTGCTGTGTTTCAACTGCCTGAGCCCTGAGCTCTGGAATTATCTCACTAAACCTCACTACCTCTCTCTCCATTAAAGAAACTACTTAAAAACTCTTTGAAGATTTCAGTTATTCGTTCTGAAGCTTCCTTTCATGCCTCAACATCAAAAAATATTTATTGCAAAAATTCTTGTTCAGCCTCTAAGATCTTTCTACTTCACTAGAAATGTTTAGTAATGCAATCACCTGTTAGCAAAAGGATTTTGCTGATGAGACATATGATTGCAGTTTAGAGCAGTCAACAATTTTTTCTCTAGGAAGGGTGTTGCTAGAATGATTGGTAGTTCATTGCTTATGACTGTTTGCTCTTCAGTAGGTTCTAGTTCCTCTCTATGGATCACTACATTAACATGGTGGACGGGCTTATGCTCTCCAATGATCCCTTGAGTCATGCCATTCAGAGCTCTTTGCTCATGCAACAGCCACAAATGGAGACAGCTTTTGAGGAGAAGGCTGCATAAGATACTCAACAGCAGATCAGGCAAAAGACGAGAATGCAAATCACCAGTTGTAGAGCAAGATAGAGGCTGCAGTGGCAAGGTGGTCCCAGATATTGTGGATGAAGCCCTAAGGTCTCCACATTGAACCAAGTCACTCCTTCCAGAGTCCATTTGTTAAGTCTGAGGTGATGGAAAATTGCAACGAGGCCTGGCCTGAGAACCTGTGATTCCCTGATTGAGAATCTGTGCAAAGGCTCCAGATGCATGAAATAAATCAGAATGTGCTGGAGACCTCACTATCTCCTCAACTCCAGCAACCGCTCCAAACAGTCAGACTGCCTGACTGACAAACTGTACTGTATGAGCATACATTTGCTCCAATTAAATATTGGAAACCAAGTAGGTCTGGCAGTATCGTGGAGAGATAAACAGATTTAACATTTCCAGTTCAACTGAAGAATCATTGGACTTGCAATGTTAACTGTGTTTCTCTCTCCACAGATGCTGCCAGACCTGCCAAGTTTCTCCAGCATTTTCTGCTTTTATTTCAGTTTTTCAGTATTCATAGTAATTTGCTTTTTATTTCCCTGGATTTGTGAGGTTGTTGGATACCTGTGTTGGATCAGAAGTGTCTTTGGGTGGCAGTGTCTATGACTGAGCTGTACCCTCTGCCCATCCCATATGGGGAAGGGGGCTACGAATAGGTACCCTAAAATTTGCCCTAATTTAATCCTTGATGGGGAAACCACATACTGGGGGATCAGCGTTTTGGTGATCCAAAAAAGAAATCTAAAAAGTTTTCAACTTGGGTTGTGAGAACATTCATGCATAATCCAAAAAGAGGCCAGCCAGAAAGAGATTCTGCAATCATACCAAGTGAACCATCAAAAATCCTATTGATATTGCTCTCTGTCTTACTGGGTAAGGACAGCTAAGGGTACAAGCTAGAAGAACACCTTCTACTGGGAACATAAGACTGACAGCAAGCCTCGCACCCACAGACCTTCTGTCAGACACCCAGAGATGTATCCTTGAAGCACTGTCAGAATGTCTCAATTGGATAAACTAAAGGCTCATGACACCAGTTCAGCCAAAGCCAATACGTTATCGTCATCAGTGCTAATGATCTTTAATGAAGATGTTAATGGTAAGTTCCTATCCTGAACATAATGAAGCCCTCAATGCTGTCCCAAAAGAAATAATCATCATCTTGGAGACATTTCCATTCCAGAGTTAGCCTTAATTCCAAAGTCTGAAGAGGAACCATTTGGTAAGAAGGTGTCAGAGAATCCAATTCAAATGGTGTCTTCCTGCCGACAAAGCGTGCCCAGTGTGCTCCCCCCCACCCTCCAACCCCGTGTAACAAACTCTCTCATCTACCAGAAGGACAAATACAAAACCACATGGAGGCAACTTGAGTCTGAGCAGTGTCACGTCCTGGGTTACTCTATTGTTTGAGTCAAAGCTATATGTGTTGAAGGTATCACTCAATCCATGCTCGGAACCAATGCCTGCTGCACAAATTATCGGCTTGTTGATTGGTGGTGAGCATCCACTCAGCACAATCATAATCATCTTGCCAAAATTAAAAGTTTTAAAGCCCCTGCCTAAAGCAGCCCAACTAAAATATGTGCACAAAAAGCAGCTCACAATCAATCCGAGAAATTTTCGCATATCCATCTCAATATCAGAACAGTGGGATCAAATATAGAGATAACAAGGTGTAGAGCTGGATGAACACAGCAGGCCAAGCAGTATCATAGGAGCAGGAAAGCTGATGTTTCGGGCCTAGACCCTTCTTCAGAAAAAAAAAATACATTTCCACGTGAATTGTCATCAGAACTGGTTCAACGAAAGCTGAAATACGTGTAGTCCTGGAAGTGAACCAAGCAGCCTTCACTGCTTGATGGAATAACCCATAGTCACAAGTCAAGAAAAACTCATTCCAACAGCTCAAGGCTGATACCCAAAGACACATCTGGAAGATAAAGGAAACGTGGTGTGAACAGAACATCTGAGAAATCCAACTGATGCTGGCATTCATGACATGGGCCATCTATGGGCCAATGTCAAGTGGAGAAGACCCTTCATTCGTAATATGATGAGTCCCTTCCTCGGGATGACAATACCATCTGTCAATGCTGGGAAGAATATTTCCAATAACTCTGCAACTGTGAATCCATTGGAGCAGCTAATCATCTCTTGCCTCTGCCTTCAGTGTCCTGCAGTTGAATCTGTCGGCCAGCTGCCAACACTGGGAAAGCTGCCAACAGTCAAACGAGTGACAAACAACAAAGCCTGAAGTCTTTATGGGATTGCAGTTGATGTCGTCAAAATTGCTTACATCAAGAACTGATGTACTCATCCTGCAAAGAAGCAGAACTCCTTCTCTCCGCCCTCCGCACACCCCCATCCCATCTCTCCTTACTGCCCTGTCAACTCAGGAATGCAAAAATTGTCACTATCATCAAGAAGAGAGATAGAAGATACCATAGAAGTTATTGAGGATTTTTCCTTCCATCCATAGCTAGGAAAATGCTGACATGCACTCACTCAATTTATTTTCTTCTTGTATTTGAGAAAATCATGTCAGAGACCTTCTCGATGAACCCAAGGCCAGCTCCTTGTTGGCAGGGAAATGCTAAAAACCACACCAGGGACTCTCCATTGCATTCATTGACCTGACCAAAACATTTGATGCAGTAAATCACAAGGAACAGTGTCACAATCTGGCAACTGCCTCATAATGAGAAACCAACAAATATCAAAGAATCATAGGAGCATAAGAACAAGTGTTGGCCTTTCTGCCTATCAAGGCTGTTTCACCATTCAATAAGATTATGGCTGATCATCTGCTTCTGTGCCACTCTGTTCATGTCACTTGATATCATTTGTTCCCGGATATTTAATCATTTCAGTTGTGATGTTGCTCAATGAGTGATTTTCCACAGCATTTTCCAATCTTTTGATTGAAAGATCTGAAACAGAACCCTTCAAAAAGGGCCAAGGGCAGCACACTGGCAGAATGGTTAGCATTGCTGTCTCATGGCACCAGGACCAGGATTCAATTGCAGCCTTGGGTGACTGTCTGCATAGGTTTCCTTTGGGTGCTCTGGTTTCTTCCCGTGGTCCAAAAATGTACAAGTTAGGTAAATTAGCCATGCTAAACGGTCCACGGTGACCAGTGAGGTGCAGGCTAGGTGGATCAGCTATGGGAAATGTGGGGTTATGGGGATAGGATGGGTGGGCTAGGTCTGGGTAGGATGGTCTTTGAAGGGTCAGTGCAGACTTGAATGGCCGAATGGCCTCTTTTGGCACTGTAGGGATTCTATGATTCTAAATCAGGACCAATGTGAAGCATGACTGTGTTATTCCCCCACACTATGTTGGTAATCATCTCATCAAGGATCTACTGCCCTTTGGTGTGTGTATGAAATGGCATTGTGGTGGCCTAAACTCAGTTGCCTCCATGCCAATCTGAGCTAATTGCCATAAGCCTACATAATCTGCAGTATGCCAATGCCTCAAGTGCCCACTCTGTACCAGATTTGCAAGTCACCCTCAATCTCTTCAATTCTGAATGTAGGTGACTCAGTCTGATCTTGAATCCTGCCAAAACAATACTCATGTCTACTGCCAAACATTTCATCACCTGTACGTGTTGAAGAAGAGAGTCTAGAATATGTTGAGCAGTTACTGAGAAGAATATTTTTGAGAAGGAGATCCAATGCTGGGTCAACTACACCAACTCACCCATCTACAAACTATAGAAACCAACGCATTATAGCAGAGATAGTAGGAACTGCAGATGCTGGAGAATCCGAGACAACAAGGTGCAGGGCTGGACGAACACAGCAGGCCAAGCAGCACCACAGGAGCAGAGAGGCTGATGCCTCGGGCCTATACCCTTCATCAGAAAAAGCATTATAGCAGAGATCTTCACAAGTTAACATCAGTCCTACTGGACAAAGCTGTTTTGGTACCTGTACTCCTGTTGTGCAGTAAGACTGTGACGGTGCATCATGTTTCCAAAGATTTGAAAATCACGTCCCCCACCAAGTCGTGTTTTCCCAATTCTCGAATGGTCAGTGTTCTGGGGGATGGCAAAGAAAATACTACACAGACACTGGGAAACCCTTCCTGCAGCACAGATGGGTGAGAGGATCTTGTTACTAATCATTCAAAATGGCAGCAAATAGCCTATCAAGCTGCATCACATCTTAAATGTCTTTAAAGATGAGACAGAGCGGCATAACAGTAGGAATGGAAAGGAAAGAAAACAAAGCAAACTAGGCAGCACGGTGGCTCAGTGGTTAGCACTGCCACTGTACAGTGCTAAAGACCCAGATTCAGTTCCAGCCTTGGGTGACTGTCTGTGTGGAGTTTGCACATTCTCCCCGTGTCTGATTGGTTCCCTCCGGATGCTCTGGTTTTTTCCCAGTCCAAAGATGTGGAGGCTAGGTGGATTGGCCATGGGAAATTGTCCATTGTGTCCAGGGATGTGCAAGTTATGTGGGTTAGCCATGGGAAATGCTGAGTTACAGGGATGAGGGGGATAGATCTGGGTGAAATGCTCTTCAGAGGGTTGGTGTAGACTTGGTAGACCAAATTGCCTGCTTCCACACTGTAGGGATTCTTTGATTCCAAATATTGAACTCCAATTCCCTGTGGGACATCCTGCTCCACCTTCTCAAAAATCTACAGGTTGAGAATCAGTCTGTTCATCACATGAAGATTTGCAGCAGAAACCTGTGACTCTGACTAAATGTTACCTCAATGTGAAACTCAGATCATAACATTGTGGTGGGCATTTCTCATGGCCCAGTTTGTGCTGTAATTAGTTCCATGGTATCTCCAGTGTACAATCTGCATCTGGAATGAGTGATTTGGGAAAATGTAAAAAGATAATTAAAGTTGATTTATGACATGTCTTCTATTAACAGGGTGCCATTTAGATGTCTTTTCATCATGAAAATAAATTGATGGCTCAATAACACTGCTTAAGTTGATGTGCTAATGCTCGCACTAAAGTATTTTCACTATTTAGGTCTAATATCCATTCTCACTGCCTGAGAAAATAGAGTTTATGCACAGGAGTATAATCTCTGGGAGAAACATGCTGGTTATTTTGGGTATAATGTGAATTGCAAATGTTGAACAAACTATAGGACAATCTCATTAGGACCAGAATTTCTTTTACTAGTTTGATCTTAATTCTGGGTAAAGGTCGTGCAGAAATAATGAAACATTTCATTTTCTCCTTTCACAGAAAATTACTGATGCTTGTACCTCGGCTCCAGATTGGGGTCCATGCTTGGAACAACACAAAGGGGAAAGATATGAAAGGAAACATGATTCAGCAGAAGCCCTGAACTGTGTGAAACTCCTGCCCACTCCTGAGAAAGAAAAAAATCTGTTTGATTTGTAAACACTGATGGACTTACTTAATTCATTAATTTATCACCATTCTACTGTACTCTACTGCAACTAGTGGAAGTTCCTGGGGCAGTGTTCGTATAGTCCCTGAGGTAATATCTATGCAAAACTCAGGGCTGTGTCCACACAGTCCCTGAGGCAGTGTCCACACAGTCCTTGGCATATTGACTGTGCAGTATCTGGGCAGTATCTATGCATCCCTGGAGCTGTATCTATGTAGTTTTTGGGCCAGTATCTACACAGTCCCTGGGCTATGTCCATGCAATCCTTGGGTAGAATCTACGCAGTCCCAAGGACAGTATCTATGCAGTTCTTGGGGCAATAAGTACACAGGAGACCCTGTGCAAAATCAAAATAGTCCCTGGACAGTGTCTACACAGTCCCTGGACAGTGTCAATGATCAGGAAAGTCTTGGCTGAGTATAGAAACACTTGAGATAAAGTTGTTGATCTTTCATTTTCTCTGCTGGCTTCCATGAAATCAACAATTCAATTTATTTTGCTGAAGAAGCAAGTGCAGAAGAATTACAAGATGGTTATATTTGACCAGTTCCATTGGTATTGGGTATGTTTACTTGAAATAGTCCATCCACATGTTGTTGTTCTTCATATAAATAAGATTGTTTCCTTGCAGTATTGGTGTGGTCTTCAAGGTTCTGTTCAAGAAATAAATGTATATGTTAAATTGACAATGAATTGATTTGTTGCTAGTATGTTTTTAAGACTCGAGCATAATTGTAAGAAATTCTGTGTTTTGCTGCATTAAATACATTATTACTGGAAGGATGGACAGTTTTCTTTTCACAGAAGTGATAAATACTGTACTATCAGATTATTTCATATTTTATATTGATTTTTGAAAATGTGTTATATTGTTCAGATAAGAGATGTTTTTGCTCTGGTCAGATGGTTTATTATGCTTTAAATAGTAAACATTCACTGTTGAATGTTTTGCATTAAATTGAACTTTTACTGTATGATGCCTTCATGAATAATGTTCTAACGTATGTGTCTATTGCTTTGATAACTGTTTAGTTTAGAGGTAGATTCTCTTTGATTGAAGCAGTAGCTGATATATATGAGAGACAAATAACAATTCTGTCACAAATGACTTCTTGTTTTAAGTCTCATAGCTACTTTGTCCACCTAATGCATACAGCTTGTTCATGAAGCTATCAACAAGTTCTCCTGGGATTTGGTATCTGCTTTTGAAGTTTAATCTTGCCAGTGTCCAATCTGTTCTTGATGTGAAATATTGATCAACAGCTGTTTGTAAGTCATCAAAATAACTTGTTTCTCACATGATTCAATGTTCTCATGAATTAGAGATTTGCTAACCTGTTCTGCATTTGATTTAGTGTCCTGGATGTGTTTGAAATATTAGGAATTGTACTTTCCATGTCTATCAATTCATTGATCAATGAAATGGATCTGAAAACCTAAATTTTCCAGTGGAAAGATTGGAATTGACAATTTTGTTACATTATTTTGTTGTTGATGGACACTTAGAGTCATAGACTCATAGACCAATACAGCATAGAAACAGATCCTTCAGCCAAAACTGGTCCATGCTGACCATAATGCCCACTCAGCTAGTTCCAATTGCCCGCATTTAATCCATATCCCTCAAAACCCTTCCCAGCCATGTACCTATCCAAATGTTTTTTAAATGCTGCTATTGTACCTGCCTCAACCACTTTCTCTGGAAAGCATTCTATGTATGCACCACTCTCTGCTCCTCAGGTCCTTCTTAAATCTTTCCCCTCTCACCTTAAATCTATGCTGTCTAGTTTTCAATTCCCCATTCTTGGCAAACTGTCTGTATACATTCATCCTACCTACGCCCGTCATGATTTTATACACCTCAATAAGGTCACTCCTCATTCTCCTGCATTCCAAGGAATAAAGTCCCATCCTGGCCAACCTCCCCCTATAGCTTAGGCCTACTAGTTCTGGCAATATCCTTGTAAATCTTCTTTGCATACTTTCCGGTTTAACTATGTCTTTCCTATAACAGGGTGACCAAAACTGTACACAGTACTCCAAGTGTGGCCTCACCAACGACTTATACAACCATAACATAACAGCCCAACTCCTATACTCAATGCCTTGACTGATGAAGCCAGCATGCTAAGTGCTTTCTTCACCACCCTGTCTACCTGTGAAGCACTTTCAGTGAACTATGTATTTGTACTCCTAATTCCTACAGGTATCAGTAATCTCTCTACACATCTGCTCCTCTAGTACCTGCTGGCCATTTGGGAGTCTACAATACAGTCCCAACAGAGTGACCATGCCCTTCTTATTTCTAAGTTCTAAACATATGGCCTCATTTGATAACCCCCTTAATAACATTCTCTCTAAGCACTGTTGTTATGTACTCCCTTATCAAAAGGGCAACCCCGCCTACTCGCTTACTTGTACTTCTGTCATGCCTGTAGCTTCTGTATCTTGGAACATTGAGCTGCCAGTCCTGCCCTTCTCTCAGCCATGTGTCTGTTATGGGCTATAATATCCCAGATCCATCCAGAGCCAATCCATGTTCTGAGCTCATCTGCTTTACCAGTCAGGCCTTGTGTATTGAAATAAATGCACTTTAAACCAGAAGTCTTTTCCCTCCCTTAACTGTGCCCTTGGTTATTCTGAACAGCAAACTTGCTCTAGATGACTAATGTGTTTTCCCTGATTTCTTGATGGCCCCGCTCTTATTCAGAGTCCCACCCTCCTGCTAAGCTAGTTTAAACCCTCCCGGGTAACACTAGCAAATCTCCCCGTGAGGATATGTGACCCCGTCCAGTTCAAGTGCAACCCATCCCTCTTGTGCTTGAAGTTGTTATTTTCTTGATTTGGAAGATAATCTTTAGGATTTTGTTCTCCTTGTTCTATTACATGTGATATTTCTAGTTGATTAACACTGTTGTTGAAGCGTTGTTGCTGTAAAAGTTGTTATATTCGGACCTAAAGGTGTTAATGGTTTTGCTGTTCTAAATGCCGCTTTCAGCATCTTTACCAATGCGCCATCTTCATCAAGTTAGATGAAGGTATTTAATGCAGGCCAGGATTTCTCAAAATAGTTTGTCAATAACATTCAATTATTGTTGACTCTATTGAAGATGACTACCATGACATCGTTTGCACAGATTTTGCTGCATTCAAGATGTTTCCTCATCCAGTTTAACAGCACATGATCAGTTTACATTGTTATTTCTTTATCCAATAATTTGCATTTTAAGGAATAAAAGTGATGTACTTTTCTACTTGCCAAATTAAACTTTGAATTTGTCATGTTCAAATTGTTTGTTTTAAGATACTCCCTCCCTACTGCCTTTTAATTTTCAAGTATCTTTGGGAACTCCTCCTTAGCCTTCTTCAGTGGAAGCAGATACATAAATAGTTGTTCCAAGTTTCCATCATTTCTTTATTCTCTAAGATTTTATGTTGCTTCTCTTGGAAGTGTTAGCTTTTGTACATGGGGTGATGATCTTCTGAGAGTCTACTATAGCTACACCTGAAAGTGAGATATGAAGATGCCAGATATTGAAACCAGCAGCTGGGAGACAGTCACTGCTGGCTGTGAGCTCTGATTGTTATTGGAAGGGCTTTGGAAGTGGCAAACTGAAACAAGAAACTCAGCTGGTTGAGAATAAGGCAAGAGAAAACAGAGGTCAGTGAAACCACAATTGGTGAGTAATCAGTAAAATACAATGGTGTCCAATCATTCACAAGAAGCACTAAGCTTGGTGTAAAATCTTTTGAAATAACAGCATGGGTCTCTGTGACTTGGAGAGTGATAGCCTCCTGCAGCGCTGCTCCTCAATCATCTCCAGGTAGCTCCATACTCAGTGGTAGATCCTGCCTTCCCTTTCCATCCATCTCCATGCTCTCCTCATGCCCCAGGGAGGGTGAGGTTCCCATTGCCACTGAGCCTAAACTCTGAGAGTTCACCCCCGGCTGTCAGCTGGAGTCTTTCTACTGAAGGGCAGGTGCCCACTCCAGTGCTCTTGGCATTTTGCTGCTGCGCATCTATTTCCACCAAGCTGGCACCATTTAAGGGCCAGGTTCTGAATGTCCACTCTCACCTCACCTGCATAGGTCACTCCTTTACAAAGCCACTGTGCACCCCAACCCAGTAAGTCTCTAGGTGCACAGTGATGCCATGACTCACTGGTTGCTCTACCCACCTCCTTTAATTGACCTCTTTATGAAGGTGTGGGTGACCTGTGTGACGCTTTACAAAAATAACAAGGTGCTGATGGTAGTGCTACCAAATTGAGAAGTAGGTTCTAGACTCATCATACCAGCCCTGCTTTGCTATTCAAGCTTGCATCAGCAGCAGCCATGGGGCTACACGGAAGAGCGGATAAGGAGACTGCTTATCATCATGACACAGAGAAGACCCCAAGAGCAGCAGAGGTGATCCCTTCCTGTGGCTCTCTTTCAGGCTGGAAGGAAAAGATGAGAGGTCCTCTTCCCCAGGAATAATCGAGGAAGAATGGACGATGGATCACCAAGGAGGTCAGCCGCCATGAGGACACCTGCAGATCCTGGCTCCCATTGTGGTAGACGGTCAATGACTTCCTTCAATCTGCCAGACTCTTCCCCTCTTCAGAGTCTTGATGTGGAGGTGCCGGTGATGGACTGGGGTGGACAAGGTCAGAAGTCACACAGGAGTCAGGACTTCACTTGACGAAGGAGCAGCACTCTGAAAGCTTGTGATTTCAAATAAACTTGTTGGACAATAAAAACCAAAAGAACTGCGGATGCTGTAAATCAGGAACAAAAATAGAAAGTTAAAGTTTCGGGTCCGGAGACCCTTCTTCAGACTGTTCTGTGGAAGGGTCACCGGACTCAAACCGTTAGCTCTGACATTTCTTCATAGAAGCTGACAGACCAGCTGAGCTTTTCCAACAACTTCTGTTTTTGTTCCCGTTGGACTATAACCTGGTGTTGAACATAGATCAGTACAGCACAGTACAGGCCCTTCAGCCCACAATGTTGTGCTGAACTTTTACCCTAATCCTAAGGTCTATCTAACCTCCACCCCTACCTTATACTATCATCCATATGCCTATCTAATAGCCGCTTAAATGCCCCGAATGAGGCTGACTCCACTAACCTCTCCGGCAATGCATTCCACACCCCTACCACTCTCTGAGTAAAGAACCTACCTCTGACGTCAGCCCTATATCTACCTCCACTCACTTTAAAACTATGTCCCCTCGTAATAGCTACCTCCACCCTAGGAAAAAGTCTCTGGCTGTCTATTCTATCTATACCTCTGATCATTTTGTACACCTCTATCAAGTCACCTCTCATCCTTTGTCATTCTAAAGAGAAAACCCCAATTCTCTCAACCTCTCCTCGTAAGACCTTCCCTCCATTCCAGGCAATATCCTGGTAAATCTCCTCTGCACCTTTTCCAACGCTTCCACATCTTTCCTGTAATGAGGCAACCAGAAATGGACACAATACTCCAGATGTGGCCAAACCAGGCTTTTGTATAGCTGGAGCATAACTTCACAGCTCTTGAACTCAATCCTTCTATTAATGAAAGCTAACACACCATACGCCTTCTTAACAACTCTATCCACCTGGGTAGCAGCTTTCAGGGAACTGTGGACTTGAACCCCAAGATCCCTCTGCTCCTCCACACTGCCAAGAATCTTTCTGTTAACCCTGTATTCTGCTTTCAAGTTTGTCCTTCCAAAATGAATCACCTCACACTTTTCAGGGTTAAACTCCATCTGCCACTTCTCAGCCTAGCTCTACATCCTATCAATGTCCCTTTGTAACCTAGAACAGCCCTCCGCACTGTCCACAACGCAACCCTCCTTTGTATCATCCGCGAACTTGCTAATCCACCCTTCCACTCCTTCATCCAAATCATTTACAAAAATCACAAATAGTGTTATGTGACTTCTGACTTTCTTCAGAGTCTGCATGCGGTAATGTGGGAATGTGTCTCTGACAGGGATTAAGTAGATGCACAATTTGTAGAAATCTATCCTCAATATTGAACCAAAATGAAAAAAACAATGATAACTGTGAACGATAAGACACTGATCCATATTGGAGGTCTTGTACGAAAATGAGGTGTTTGGACAATACAGACAGGGAAGATCTGTTTGCCCTAGAGGAGAGGCCAAATAAAAGGGGGCATAGATTTAAGGTGATGGGTAGGAAGATTAGAGGGGGAATTTACCCGGACGGTGGTGGCTGTCTGGAATTCGCTGCCCAGTTTGGTGTTTCAGGCACAAACCCTCAACTCACTTGATAGGAGCCTGGAACTGCAATGAAGTGCTATAACCTGTGGCGCTATGGACCAGGTACTGCAAAATGAGGCTAAAATGGATTGTTAGTTTAATCAGTTGGTGCAGACATGATGGGCTGATTGCCTCTTTTGTATTGTAGCATTTAAACAGTTTATTGGATCAGTCCAAGTCAAACTGTTCTTTTTCTGGTGCCTCCCTTTGGGGAATTCTGTTAAAGAAACTGTTCATTTGAATCATCCTAATCTTCATCTCGAGGATCTATAGCAGTACGGATCATGAGAAATTGAACTCACTCAGACTCACTCAAACTTTT